ACGGGCCCTTCCCAGCACAGGCACAGGCACAGGGACAGGGCATGCAAAGAGGGAAGGTGCTGGCCTGAAAGCCCTCGTTTAACTTCTGTCCTGCTTCTGGCATTCCATCTTCATGTGGACCAAGAGTACCCGTCCTGTCCTGCCACTGTCTTGCACCACCCTTTGAGTCACTTGTTTGACCAACTCTGTAGTCACTGGCTGCAAAACAGCAGGGAATGCTCCCCTGGCACTCAGGGTTGTTGTGGGGACTGAAAAGCGTGGGCTAGGTTATTTCATTTGTGGTGGCCATGGCAATTCTTCCATCCCCAAGCTTGGGCACACAAAGTCCAAAGGCCTGGAGTGCCCTACGCAGCTTTTCAAAGGATTGACTCCTCTCACTGTTGGGGAGTGAAGCTGAATCCAAAGCTGCGTTCTATAGGTGTCTGGTGTTCAGCCTGACCAGTTCCCTGGAGCCAGGGCCTCTTTTCTTTTCCAAGCATCTGCTTCCCTGGACTGAGCAAGAGAGTGTTGTTCTGTGATTATTTTGGCATTAGAATGTCATTAAATTCCCTGACACTTGATTGGTCGTCTCAAGTGTAAATTGAAGATGCTCCTGCCCTGCACTCAATGTTCCTCGCTGCAGTGGCAGTGCCAGCCCCTGGCAAGGCAGCAGGAACCCCACGCTAGGGCATTCCTGTGGCTCAGCTCCTCCCCAGTTGCCACCCAGATGAGCTTGTGCCATCTGGTGTCATGGGGACGTGTGAAGAGCTATTTAGGAATTCCCTGTCGAATGCTCGACACCATCTCAAAGGGCATTGTTCATGTCTTCAGAGAAAGACTGTCTGAGTCTATGCTGAGGAAACTTGTAGAGACAGAATCCTGTGCCTTTACACTTAGAGGGCACAGTCTATGGAGGAGCAGTCCTGCAACTTGGCATGATTTTTCCTTCTGGCTTATGATAAATATTTATCCACTACCTAGATTATCTTTACTGAACTGCTGGCCCCTTCTGCCTGTTGGCCTTGCTGCCTCTGCCCAGCTTCTCTCTCCACCTGCACTGCCCATTCTCCTCTTGTCCTTCCAAGAAATTCTCCTCTTCCTTTGGGGCTCGATGTGGGGATTCACCCTCGTGCCTTCCTGCCCTGGCTCCCTGACTTCCTCTTTGGCCAGGTTTTTTCTCCCTCTCATCTTATTTGCCTCTGTATTGTCCTTACTTTATTATCTTGTTTACTATTTTGTGCTGGCGACACAGCTATTACCACTAGACCTAGTGGGTACACAGACACGTGCCTTGAAGTTGGGCCCCCACCTGATGCCGGTCAGCATCAAGGCCACTGGAGCCCCTTGCCCTGAGAGGAGCAGGGGCTGTCAGGAACTGGTTCCTGGCGGGACATACAAGGTTGTGAATGTTGAAGGAGTCATCTTCTGGACACATGGGGGGATGGCCACAAAAGGCAGTTACCTCCAGGTAACCCAGTCCTCACATAGCTCTTGATTTAGACTATGAAGATTACAGTACCTAACTGGGTGGGGCCCTCCTCTTTGTGCACTTGTGATTGTGTGTATGTGTGTCTGGGTAGAGAAAGAGTGAGAGAGGAGAGAACTGTAATATATGGTCACTTCAATTGTAACTTACTAGCCAATTTGGTCTTTAAAAATAATCTTCTTCGCCCAAATGAGTTACTATATCTTTCTAAAGTATTTTTGCAATTTATACTAAAACAGAGTTATCCAACCCTGTAAGAAGGATTGTTTTCACTTAAAGGGTGACAGACTGAGAATTATGGATAAGCATCAGTGAAAGGGTGTATTAGTCAGTTAGGGCTGCTGTGCAGAGTTCCAGAGACTGGGTGGCTTACACAACAGGAATTTATTTTTCTCAGTTCTGGAGGCTGGAAGTCTGTGATCTTGGTGCAGACTTAGCCTCCAGACCTGTAGATGCCGTCATCCCGTGTCTTCACGTGGTCTACCCCAGTGGGTTTCTGTGTCCTGATTGTCTAAGAACACCTTGGATTAGAGCCCACCCCACAGTGACCTCATTTTAACTTAATCACCTTATTGATGACCCTGTCTCCACTTACAGTCACAGTCTGAGGCCCGGGGGGTTAGAACTGCAACAGATGAATTGAGGGGACACAGTTTACAGTTCAGCCCATAAAGAGGAGGACGCCCAGAAGTTTCAGGAGGGAGTGGAGCATCTTCCCTGTTTGTATTTATTTTAATAGTTTTTTTAAAAACGCTTTTAATCAGGAAAGACAGTGTGTCTTTTTTATATTACCCAGTTTAGGAGTGGCAGAACTTAAATGCACTTGTGATACACAGATGTCGCTTCCACCTGATTAAGAACCACTATAGCAGACGCAGACTTACTGGACTCTAGGCAGGAGGCCAGCTCTGCAGACACAGCAGCTCTCAGGAAGACAGTCCAGGCATGGCTGCTGATGCTCCTTTATGGGTGTGTTTATTGTCTTAGCCCACATTAGATGCGAGGGACCACTCATACTGCAAGTGACAGCTCCTGGCTCAGTCATACTTGCTTTTAACTGGCAGCTCCCCAACAATACAGAGATTGTCATTTTTAGTCCTGACTTTCCAATTCCATTTTGGATATGCTACCCTGGCCAGAAGCCTCTGGGTGTGCCCTTACTTTGACCTTTCACCAGTGCATTCCATCTTAGGGGACTTTCTCTAATCGCTTCAAACTCCCTCCTGACCCCTTACACCACCCCAAAACCAAAGGCCCTGGTTTAGGAGCTGAATTGTAGCAGCCGCTCCTCACGTATCTAGATCGCAGGGAGATTTCACTGGAGCTGGCTGAAGCTGTTGGCGCTTTGAGCAGCATTGAGCCGTCAGTCTTAGTTCTGCGTCTTCGCCCCACTGCAGCTTTTGGCCACTTGCCCCAGTTTAGTGTCACCAGGCCCTGACCATAAGCCGCAGTAATTTTTATGGCTGCAGGTATTAAGAGGGCAGCCAGTCTGCAGAGGTAGGGGCTGCCCATCCTCCAGCTGTCTTTTGCAGTACGGGCATACGCTTCAAGCCAACAGCAGCTCTAGCCGGCCGTGCCAGCTGTCAAATGCTTTCTGGGCTGGCACAGCTCTTTGAATCCGTGGTAATGGCTTCCTCTGTTGAATGTCGTCCAAAAGCAATTGCTTGTCAACTTAAAAGCGTGTGCCATGTTGTCATGCCCGCCGTCTGAGAGGGCAGGCATCCCCGCACCCTTGCAGACTGCGATGCTTTAGCATCTTCTCACGAGTCAGAGACTGGGTGTAACTTTTGCCAAAATTTCCTGCATTTTCCCCACCCTGTCCAGCATGTCTTTGAACACCCCCATATCCTTTTACATTTGAGATGAAAGCGGAACTCTAAAAACTTGGAAAGATTCTCTCGTGAGGTGACTTCTACTTAAGCTTGGTCACAGCCTCCTGCTGTCCTCCAAGAGTGGACAGAAGATTTCTTCCCTTGGACGCTGCCAGTGCTGGAATATGAAACTTAGCAAGTGTCAGCAGTTGGAGTCTGCCCTTCACGTTGACACAGCCCCCTCATTGGTGTCCTGTTGACTGTGGACACCCAGTCAGCCCCATGTTCTGGCCACACCGAGCATGGCAGTGACACCAGGTTGGCACAAAACTTCCCTGCCTGGATTGATTACTTAGCCCATCATAGCATACACTTTCTTCATTTTAGTAAGTTGTGGTTTTATTTTGAATAAGTTTCTTTCAACCTATTAATATTAGTCTACACTAAAATTAACCTTCCCCTAAATTATTCTCACACAGAGGCAGCAAAGTAATTTTGAAAGTTAAATCAAAACAAAGCAATCTTGTGTGTAAAACAGATAAAAATCACAGACTGTGGTTACAGAGTGCCTCTACAGGAATCGCTTACATAAAGCTGATTTCCTCCAATCTTGTTATGGAAGGAAAAGGGGAAATGCCCTGGCCTTATCACAATCCCATTCTGTCAAACAAGTGAGGCAGAGCTTGTGTAAACAGTGGAGCTGCAGCTGCAGCTGGTGTCTGTGGGGGCTGTTCGGGGTCTGAGGGGACCGTTGTCTCACCCTGATTCATGGCCGGTGGTTCCCGCGACGGTGTGTTGGAGGCATCCCCCACTCAGTGAGAAGGGGGTTTGTGGAGAGACAGTCACGTAGCCCAGTCTCGTGTGGATTCGTCATTAAGAAATGTCCAGGGCAGATTTCAGACTTGAACGGCGAACCAGGTTGGTAGCTCATGGCGTTGAGGTTGATGTGTTGTGTTGCCGCCGCCTTTGGCAACTTTGAATTTATACCTTGCACTTACCCACAAGATGGATTAGAACCTGAAAGTGGGCGCTGTGGAAGACCTGAGGACCCTGAAAGCATTGAATAAGCTGGTGATTTCCTTTTGAACAGTTCCTCAGCTTGTAACAAACATAGGCTGGTCACTGGCACAGAGGCTTTTTATGTTCTGGATTGCTCTTTCCTCCGCACACCGAGAGGGTAGGAGGATGGGGGTTGACAGTGCCTGTGTCTGTGACCATGGGCACCCCTCTGGGTCACAGTGTTTATCGTAGCCAAGCAGCCAGAGGCACAATGGTGCATCACTGCCCGACTTTGCTTAGCTTCTTAGGGCAGATTACTCCAAATCACTGGTTTCTCAAATAAATTACAGCTACCAGAAATTCACCCCTGAGGGAATCTGCAGCATATTTGAATGTCAATTAACTTGGGTGGTAAGATAGTTGCTTTACATCCTCTTTGAGCTTTTCAAACATTCTTTTGGGTGCTTTTTTTTTTTTCTATTTTAAGGAGTAAATCATTGGTATGCCTGCCCTTTATGTAGGGATGTCTTCCCCTTTGCAGGGAAATGAAAACAAGTTTTCTTCACAGTCTCAGGGAGGAATCGTGCTTTGTGATACAGTGCTCGTGAAGAGGTGCCTTTCATAGTGTTTAAGCTGGGATTGGTTGTTCACTTAAATATGGGCTCCCTCCCCTCCCCACTCCCAAATTAGGGAGAAACTAAGAAGCTTTCCTTTTGTTGTTTCAGGTATTTTTGAATAATTACCAAGCAGCCGAAGACCACCCACAAATGGTTATCTTACGACTGTTGCGTTACATTGTCCGCCTGGTGTGGAGAATGCATTGACAGGTTCTTTGCGGAGCCGAGATACGTGCAGACATTTTGCTTGTTCGAACCAACAAGCCCCAGCACCGCGGTCTCCTGGTGCCGTTATTATGCAGCCAGCGGTTCTCTGGTGGAGGGGCAGGTGACGTGTTCAGAAGACACCGAGCTGGATGGGAACTTGACCTTTCTGTTCATCACCACACAGCAGAATTTCTAATGGAAGTTTCTTGTGAATGTAAAGGAGGGAGCATTCTTTGCTTTTTAATGTACAAACCATGGTTTTTTGGAACAGGATTTTGTGTAAGAATGGTGTTTACATGCAGTGTGTTTTCCCCATCACCTTTAATAAGGTTTTTCAAAAAGGAAATGGAAACTTTTTAATCAATTGTGAATAATTTTTGTATTAAAATTTTAAGAACCTATGGCCTATTCTCAGAGGATTATGTAAACCCTGCAGTGGAAACTGAGCCAGCTAACTTAAAAAGCTGCCTTAGTTTATTTTTAGAGATTACAGAATTTTTAAACAGGGAGAGGTGTGATATACTCCCTCCCTTCCCTATTATTGCCTCTTTGACCTTTTAAAATTATTTTTATTAATACCAAAAGAGTTCTTTTGAAATGGAACTGATTAAAAGGGCAGAGGGTCTGTTCTCACCTGCATTGATATGCCAGTCCCATTTGTAAATATTTACGTACCTTTATAAATTCAGTTGCATCTGTGGCAAAATTTCAGACTATTTTTGCGTCTTTCCTCATCACTTTTTGTGATGTACCTCCAGTCTGGACTCAGATGCATAGATTTGATCCAGTGTATTTTCATGATAAAGTGAAACTGAGTCAGAACAAGAGTTAATATCCGCCTGTATCTTGCACAGTTCGAGTGATCTGTTATTAACTGGGAAGCATTTGGTGTTGGTTTTCATTCCATTTTGATGAGTATGTTATTGGAAAGTATTCTGAAGAGGCAATAGCCGTAATAGCAACAGACCTAAGTGCTACGCCCCTTTGTGCTGCTGGCTTTTCTGGTTGCAGGCTTTCCCATGTTCACAGGATGCACTGTCAGCATCAGGTCCCAGAGGGCCACCGTGTCCATTACAGCAGAGTCCAGCTGCAGTATCCAGCTCACGCCTTCATGGGAATGGGCACAGGCCTGGGACAGGGCTTCTGATGGCCATTTGCTTGGCCTCCTGCATTTTAGTCCTCCTGCATTCAGTCCACTGGCCCCACTCCTTTAAATTCACTTTGAAACATAGGCTTCATCCCACTTCCACCAGCACCATAGAAGAATTCTTCTGGGCAGAAGTCTGTGTTTTTCGTTCTTCCAGGACAGTTGGATATTGTCAGGCCACTCGTGCCCCCAGCCCTGTAGTGAGGGTGCTCTTTCTCTGTGCCTGCTCCTTGTGAGTGCAATGGAAGGAAACCACACACTGGTCAGTCGTTTCAGAGGCAGCAGACACCCAGGGAGACACAGGAAAGAGTCAGGTTAGGGAGCAGTGAAATTGAGGAGGGAAGACAATTTTGTGAACTCTGTAACTCTTAAAATTTTTGAAAACTCCAATCATTAAACAGCTTTTAAAAGAAATAAGTAAATCTTCAAATGAATCAGCAGTGCCAGCAACTAGTGTTTTGCCAGAATGTTCACATTATTTAAATTAGGTGGAAAAATCTAAACACTTGTATCTTCATAATTTAAAAAAAATATATATATACATATACACACACACACACACACACATATATATATGTATTGCATATTCACTTTTTCCTTTAGATGGAGATGATTTAATTCCAAATATTCTTTCTTTAAATAATTTCGTTTCCCTAAGAATCTCCTTGGGACTTTGACTTATTTTTAAAGCTGTGTTGGAGCTCAACTTGTTCCCTAATGTGTCTCGAGCCCATTTGTAGGGTTACACAAAGCCCGCGGTTATGAGCGGTGGTAGGATTGCAGCCGCGGGCCTGCTGGACACACACACACACACACCAAAGATGTATTTGGTTCTGGGCGCCCCCTCCCAGGATCCCTGTATTCATGTGCCAGTCTCCTGACTAGAGCACTTTACTCTGTTTCCTCAGCTCTGCAGCCCCTGGGAGCACACACTTGGTGCAGCCCTGGGCCGGGCACCGGGGGCCCTGTCCTGCGCTGCCCAGGGGCTGTGTTCAACACACGAGCACGTTTCCCTCTGGCCTGGTGGCCTCCAGGCTGGATGTGGAAACAGTTCCTGAGGAAATTAGAGATTCTATGAATTGTAGGAGTATTAAAGAACAGGCTGTTGGCACCAGAACTTAAAGCGATGACTGGATGTCTCTGTACTGTATGTATCTGGTTATCAAGATTCCTCTGCAGAAAGTATGCCTCCCATGGGTATACGTTTTTACCTTTTTTAAAAAACGTTTTTGTAGAAAAAATAATTAAATCCCCTTTTTGGAAACTTAATGCAGGTTTTGTGCCTTGACAACCTCTCCCCATGTGAGGTTTGTAAAAAGTGTCCTGTGACTTAACACAGAAACACAATAAACGCACACAAAATAGCTTCATGAGTGATTCTTCAGATGTCCTTCCCAGAAACCAGTTGATGAAGAATGTTGGGGGTGGGGGTTGTGAAGAAATCAAGTTTAAAATTCCTTCTGATTAAAAAATATAGTGGAATACAGTTGTCTGCCATTCCCCTTCTTAATGTATATATTGTGAGTATTTATTAGATTAGTAGGTCATATTTTACTTATCAACTGAGCCAAATGTCTGTGTGCAATTGTGTTTCCTTTACCTTTCTTGTAAAATTTTGTACAGCATAAATGAGTAAAAAAATCACTGTTTTTCTAAACTTTTTCGGAATCAAGGATTGTAAATATTGTAGATTCTTTTTCTGTGTGATGTGTCCTACTGTTTCATAATGCTGTAACTTGTAGAAATATTGTATATTTATTTTCTGCTTATTTAATGTCTTAATTTCTGAAAAGTGTTAACATCCCTGTCTCCCACACCCCTGCCATTCCATGAAGTTACCTCCTGAGAGGTGTAGGGGGTGACTGGAGAGCTCATTGCAGACCACATGGTCCTCCAGGGTGGCTCTCCAGCTTTGGGTCCTGGTATTTCCAGTCAAGTGGGTTTCAATTCTTGGGCTTTGCCGCCCTTATGATGAAGTGTGTGTTTGATGCCAGTGAGAAACTCAGTCTGGCAGGCTACAAAATTCTACTCCAAGAAATACCCAGCAACCTTCTGTTTGTTCCAAAGCAACTAGCTTCCCATGCAAGCAAATTTTGCTGACTCCAGGCTTTATCTTTAGGAAAACAAAAAAACCAAAGTATTAGCAGGTGGGAAAGATTTTTCTACTGAAAATGTATCCCTGACAACTCAGTGTTTAGAAAAAAGTTAAAATGTGCCACTTCCGGAGGTGCTGCATTGCAGTTGTTCAGGGCTAGGGCCGGGCAAGACCAGGGGACGGGTGGGACAGGTGGCTCCTGCCTCAGGACCACCTCCGGCCACTAACCCCTTGTGGACAACTGTGAGTGGTTGGGTTTTCCCCCACCTGCTGTGCGACTTCCTGTGCTTGAGGCTGGACTAAATTGTCTTCAGGAGCTAATTTTAATTAACTGTACAGCCCTCCCCACGCCCCACCCATTTGGTCACCGCATTTGGTCAGTCTGCTTCTTCAGGTCGATGCCCTCCTGATTCTCCATCTCCTTCAGGGGAGGTTGGGGCCCCACTGGACTGGGTGTCAAGATGTGAAAGCTCGTGGAAGCTTTAAGGAGACTTCATGGTGGTTCCATGCAGGTGATTCTGCCATCCCTGCTGATTTATCCTGGTTCCTGTGTGTGTCTACTCACATGTGGAGGGCAGGGGGAACGTGGGGTCTACTTTAAACTGCATTGTGTGTAAGAAGCATCCTCAAGCTCCCAGCTAAGTAACTTGACTACTTTTATTTGGGAATTTCGGACCATAGAAGCTCTCTCATGTTTTATGTTCAGATTCTGTGACCACTAGTTACTGTATCAGAACTCTTCAGGTACCCACTTATAAATAGCACTGATCTGTTTGTATACTGACCCATCACTAACCTGTTTTCTAGGACCCAGCATATGTAGCATTTGTATTGCAGTTTCCCTGGCTTACTTGTGTTTTGCACTGATGAATTTTGACAGGGTAATTGCCACTTTACTTGTGCAATACTGCTGTAAATAACTGCAGATTTTTAAAGAATCTTTTATGTTAATTTTATAAAAATAAAACTTACAACTAGTTTTGGTGAACTGTTTGATTTGTTTGCACAAAATGTCAGAGAAACAGCTGAAATTATATATGAACATGTACACGCCCACACATCTGCTGTTACCAGTCATAAAATGTAGCCGTGTGTAGCTCATATATTTTTGCTTGAAGACGAATCTGTTCAGTACGTTTAAAAGCAAACCAGTCTTTAAAGTTTTGATGTGGCTGGTGCGACTGCTAGAAAAGTATTCTGCCTGCACAGTCAGATATGACTCAGCACTTGGGTGGGGAATTGTGGGGGCAGGGAAGTGTACCAGGAGCCAACTCCTGATGAGTGATAGGGCAGGTGCCCTGCCATCTTACCCCATTCACCCCATAGTAGAAAGTGCTTGTCTGCAGCACCTGCTCAGAGTCCAAGGGGTCACCCAAACATGCCTAGACCCTGGGTGTGAAATGACCAGGAACCAGTAAGTTCCCAGCTCCTGTCATGCAGGGTGGATGGGAATTGCCTTAGGAATGAGTGAAAGAAATTAAAGCCTGGTTTGGGGATACAGGTGATAAAATCCTAATAAGTAAGTACTTAATTTGGCACTTTACCCTATAGTGCTGGGAAAGTGAAGGACAGACTCAGCTTTGTTTTAGACTAATAATCTGTTAATGCTTTCAATCAGGTGAGCAATACACGAATATGGTCTTGAATATTTATTTCAAATTGTATTTGTTTCACATCAAATTGTTCTGTCTTAATCCTACCTCCTCATTGAGGTAGGAGTTTGCATTTTTCCGGACCCTTAATCTGCTGTGTGTGTGTGTGTGTGTGTGTGTGTGTGTACTTACACAGCAATTTTGCTTTTCTGTAAGTGCCATAGCTCTGTATATGGTTCTGACTTAGCAATAGGTCACATGTCTTTCCATAGTGACTCCACTTCATGCTAACTACTGCAGCAAGCGCTAGAGCCCAGGCATAGAGTTTGCTCAGGGGTATCCCGCTCTTGTGGTACAGGGAGGTGGAAGATCAGCCTCAACAGACCCTGGAAGACACTGTCAAAGTGGCAGCTCCACTTCACACGGCCCCCTGGCAGCACGTAAGAACACCCACCTACCCCCAGTGCTGTCAGACATGAGTGAGCTGGTGTCTGCCTGCTGGGTGAGGAGCAAGTGGTGCTCATTTGAATTTTTCTATCAGTGCAGTAGGATGATCTTTTCAGGCATTGGTGGCATTTGCCTGTTTTTCTAAAAGCTTTTGCTAATTTTGGGTTGAGTATTTTTTCTATTGATGATTAGCTCTTTATACATTCCGGACAAAAAAATCTCTTGTATGTTGGAAATACTTTTCCTTCAATCTGTTGCCTTTTTTCCCCAACCTTTTATCATGAAAACTTTCAAATATTCAGAAAAGTCAAAAGAGTTTTACAGAGAACACCCATGCACTCACTACCTAGCTTCTACCTTTACTTTTACTACTTTTGCATTATAATGTATTCATCTATTAATCCGGCTTATTTTTTGGTGCATTTCAAAGTAAGTTGTAGTCACCAGTACTCATCCCCAAATACTTCAGCATCATTTAGAGTTCATTAATTTTTTTATAATTTTTTCTCCAAAGATAAAATTCGCATAAAGTAAAACATACAAATCCTATGTGTGCATTTGCTAAATTTTGACCAAGGATACAGCTGTCTCTCAAATCCTTGTCAAGATAAAGAATACTACCGTAACTTCTAGAAAGTTATCTCCTTTCCAGGTAATCCCTCCTCTCCTGCCCCCATCGGTAACTTCTGTTCTGAGGTTCTTTTCCATCATAAATTAGTTTTACCTCTTCCTGAACTCCATATTAATGGAACCATACAGTATATGGTCTTTTGTGTTGTGTCTGGTTTCTTTTGCTCAGAATATGAGATCCACGTTACAATTATCAGTAATTTGTTCCTTTTCATTACTGAGTCGTAGTCTATTGTGTGAACAAACCAAGCTTTCGTCTATTGTCTTATTAATGAACACCTGGGTTCTTACCAGTTTGGGGCTATGATGAATAAATCTGCTGTGAATACTCTCATACAAAGCACATGAGTCTTTTTCTGTGAACATATGTTTTTAGTCTGCTGAATGTTTTTTAATTGCTTGTGGTGTATTTTATGTACAAGTTGTCATCTTAGAAGTCAGATTTATCAATCTTGCTTAGGTTTCTGTATTTTGTATCTTGTTTAAGACAACTTCTCTATGCCAAAGTTTTAAATATATTTTCTTATGTTTTATTCATATAACCAGTACAGTTTGGGCTTTTTTTTTTTTCACCTTAATCCACCTGGAATTGATTTTTTTAGTGATCCACAGTGTGAGTCTGACAATTTTTTTTTTTTTTTTTTACTATTGCTCTTATATTTTATTGAATACTGTTTTTTTTCCTCTATTTTTTAGTATTTGCATGGTGAGAATGAATTCATTTAATTGATTTTAATTTTAAATATACAAATGC